ACAAACCGGTGTCCGCTCTCTTCCACCTCAAGACACGAAATTAGTGCTGCAATCCCACGGTGCTATGGTGTCCACCGCGCTGTCATCGTTGGGAGTAATAGTAAACCAGGCGATGGCGTCCCGATTGACCCTCCAGTCACTGATTGGCCGGAATGTAACGTGTATTTGTCGATCAATGTCAACGGTATTGTCTTCGGCGCCGCTGTTCTGATCGCTGCTGTCCTCCACATCTCGCGCCACTCTCGTCGGTCCCAAACAGCCGACCCGACGCTTCTTGCGTATCGACTGCAGCACTAATTGTCGTGTCTTGAGGTGGAAGAGAGCGGACACCGGTTTGTGATCCGATTGTTTGTATTGCGGATGAGATGTATAATTGAGTTGTTGTAAATCAAGTGTTGTATTCTCGTAGGCGTTGGCCGTAAAGCGGTATAAAATACGGTCAGTGAAGGCCGGCTTACGTGACCTGAATCGGGGAGCGGGAGGTGTAAAGTCAGGGTTAATGTTAGGGTAAACCAAATGTTATGCATATAATAATCACTCACTTATAGTCGTATTCATCGGTATTGACAAAGAATTTATAGGTCGGCGCGAATGTCGGCGCCGTTTCGGTGAACTCACTGAACGCCCGGCCCTCCAGACGGACGCGATTTAGCTGTGAATTGCAATTTTAAGCTCTAAACACATGTCATGTCAATAGTAGTCATCAAAAATACCTGATCCTCGTCTAAGAGTCGCTTATATTTATTATTATCACAATTTGATCCGCCGCTAGTTTGCGCGGCTTTGACGATAATGTCGTGTATCTCATCGCCGGTCAACTCGTCGATCCGGAAGTTCAGGTCACCCATCCATAGGACGTAACTGTTTGTTTGGGATCAATTCATGTGACAATCAGTGTGTAAACTATGTCTAAAACCAATTGAATACTTACTCGTGACTTAAGATATTTGGTTTTTTGTTGCTCCAGAAGTACTGGCCGTCGACTATAGTGTTGTAATCGGCGATCCGTTGGTCCAGATTCTCGTAATGCGGCGCCAAATGGGTGTTCACTATACAGA